GGGTTTTCCGTATTATAATTTTAGCTTAATGGGCCCCCAAAGCCCAGACTAGTTATTAAGGACGCTGCATAGGAGCCTTAATAACTAAATTAGGTTTTTGGGGTGTAGTATGCCACGGTTTGCTAAGGCCCCCATATTATCTATAATACCAATCGTGGCTGCCAGGACCTGCCTGGGGCCCTGAGTGCTGCGGAGGCCAACGGGCCTATGAGTGGTGTTCAGGGTTCGGTTTAGGGTTCAGGGTTTAGGGTTTAGGGTGGTGTTCAGGGTTCAGGGGTTGCTTTGATCCAGAGGGATGTGTTCAATGGGATTGAATGAGGGCTGGTTGTAGTTGTTTTTAGCACGGTCGGGCCAAAACCCATCGCGAGGTTCATTTTTTCTTTTTTTGGAAAGTGCTCTTTCAGCTCTGATGCGCGCTGAAAGCCGTGCCTACAGCACAGACAATAGGACACTCTCGAGACTGGTGTCTTTAGCTGCCCTACACACGCACACATATACATATATATATATATATATATATACACATACTATATCGACATATACATGCATGTGTATATATATATATGTATTGTATAGTATTCAGTCCATATTCTATATCATTGTTTGATCAGACATGGTACGTGACATACTGTATAAAATGCAGAGTATGTGACATGTCATATGCACGTGTATATACACATGCATATGTAAAAGTTTTACATATATATATATATGTACACATACACCACACACACCTACATATACACATACATATACATATACATGTACATCATATACATATACATATACATACTACAGGGGTTACAATTCTTAACAACCGCAATACTACGCCGTTGTAGTCCCTACATGTCTCTACGAGAATGACTGGTAGAATAGAATCAACGTAAACTGTCTTCCAGTTACTAAGACCCCGACACCATGTGCTTTCCTAGAACTTATCGTTGTGCTAAAGGAACCGAATTCAAACACCTGCTTGTAATGTCATGAGCTCCCTACAAAAACCCCTATAGAGCTTTTCAAAATCCTATAAGGCGTCGAGACTCCCATAAAGCCAAAAGGTATCCCTAAAGAAATCCTATAGAACCCTGCTGAAACGTGAGGTGTCAGAGTCCCTGGGCCTCACTGTGCCTTGGCCAGAGATGCCGGGAGCTCCCCATTGAGCGTTCAGGGTTTTGAGTTTCGGGTTTGGGTTTAGGGTTTAGGGGTTTTAGGGTTTAGGGTTCAGGGTTTGGGGTTCAGGGTTTGGGGTTTTGGTGTTTCGGGTTTCCACGTTTTGAGGGTGGGTGGGTAGGGAGTTCCGACACTTTTCTCAGCACACTGCAGTCCGAGACATGGACCCCAGTGCTCAGAATTTTCCCCCTATTTAAACGGTTTGGGGAAGTTTAGGTTTTTTTAGCGCTTAGGGCTCTAGCACCTGCTTCATGTGGCATGGCTCAGCCATACGTTGCCCTCTCAGGCGATCCGGAACCGGCAATGGGCAATTTTCCAGACGCCCGCATCCCAGCTCTGAGATTTCGGGTTCAAGGGAGTCAGGTTTAGGGCTTAACGTTGGGGTTCAGGGTTCAAGGGGTTAGGGTGGTATGGTTCTGGGGGTTCAGGGGAGTCAGGGCTTTGGGGGTTTGAGGTACAGGTTTCAGGCAGTTAGGGACCTCGGGAACCGGTAGCGACTGGAGCGAAGCTCCAAACAGCCCTGGGCACTGCCAGCACCCCCCAACTACCCTCGAGTATATCCCAGGAACCCACTATTCAGGACCATAAGGGCTCCATTAAAGGGTTCTTGAGGGTTTCCTGATATTATGATCATAGTACAATAGCATACTATACATAATTATAGTACTAGGCCCTTGGGCTCTGGATTCCTGTCAAGGCTCCCAGCATTCAACAGCTGGATCTTTTGAAGCCTAGAGCCTCCTGTCTCTGAAGCCCTAACCCCTAAATCCCTTAACCCCTAACCCCTAAACCCTAACCCTCAAATCCTAATCCCTAAAGCCTAAGCCGTGTTCTCCCGCATGGAGAACCCTTGCATTTCGAGCTGGCAAAAGCTTTCTGAGCCCAAGGTCTGCGTTGAAGGGCTCCGGCATCAACGAAGGTGCGGGACATGCTGCAGTGCATGGACTGCATGGACGGTTCGACACATTTTCCCGCTGGCGGTGGTGCAGATGATTGCACAGCTGTAGTAGTGAAAGTCTGTGATTCCAGTCTGTTACAGTGAGTGCCTTCGTCTCAGAAATAGGTGTATACCCGTGAGTTCAAGGGCACCCTGGAAGGTGGTAGAATGACTTGCAGTGATGCTGCAGATTCCTTAGGATCTAATGTAGACTCCTGATTAACACCCGCTTTTCTTTGGGTGCTTGGAGGATGAGAGCATCCAAAGCCCAAAATTTGAAGGCTTAGGATTTAGTCTTTGAATTTAGGGTAAAGGTTTGAAGATCCTCCCGCAGAATTATCACACTTAGGCAATGATTCAGGACCCACTTTGGGAGACGCTTGGGTCCAATGACCAGATTTGAAAAATACGTTTGGGTTTGTAGGGCCCCGCGGCTTTAGTAACCTTAAACTTAAAGATATGGGAGTTTCAGATAATTGCAGACTTGGGACCTAGGATGCTTACAGTATGAACCGCGCACTAAGGTAAGCTTCGGGCTTGGGGTCTTAGAGGCCTTGAAGAACCCCTGTAGGATTTGTATGAAGCCCGTGTGGAACCTTTTTCTTGGAAGCTTTCAAGAACTCCATATCAAAGAGCTCCAACAGGTCTCGACTGGCTCGTCAGCGTCTTGTCTAGCACCTGAGGCAGCTGCTAACGGCCGTTCTGACACTCCCATAGGTTTCGAGGTCCCTGCGGAAGCATAAGGGATAGACGGAGTGGTGTACGCATAGCTGTGTGCATGCGTGTATGTATGTATGTATGTATGTATGTATGTATGTATGTATGTATGCATGTGTGTGTGTATATATGTGTGTATGTGTGTGTGTGTGGGTATGCACGTGTACATACAGATATTCATAATTAGTTCTGTTTTACATTTGTATTTATATTCATATCATCATATTGGCACTCTGCGTTTGTTGTAGTACATTCATATTGTTTTATACATGTGTATATTATAGCTATGTTTATAACTGTATTTACATGTATGTATTTGTCTTATCTCTATAATATACATATATACATATATATATATATATATATATATATATATATATACACACATACACGCTTTATGCATTTACCATGTATACATACATCTATGTATATATATATATACACAGATAAATACATAAAATGCACATACTGCGGATTAGCGAATGTTACCGAAAGTTATGAGGACAGACACGCACACAAATTACCTGCTTATGCGCTTGTAGAGTCATCATTAGAAGGACCTGCAGATATGTGTCATCGTCACTCAGTCAAGTGTTCTGCTGGGGCATGCATAGATTGGGCTTGGGAATTCGATTGAATGGAAGGGCATCCGGTAGCGCATCCCTGCAACCGCCCCGAACCCCAAGAAGTCAGTGAAGCTGGAGGGGGTGTCGAGTTAGTCTTTCCCTTGACAGGGTCGAATTCGTCAGTGCATGGCAAACTGCCCCGCTTCCCGGATTGGTTGGCTTTGCCTGAGCGTGAGAAACGAAGCCGGGCAGCTCAGTTGTTGACATTTGGGTTCTTGACAAACAATGCCTGCTCCAGGGCGCGAGAGCTGGTTTTCGGGGAGACTGAAGGACATGTTGCTGGGGACGTCCCTCCAGCCACGCGGCTCTAACTTCTTGTTGAATCCTCGAGCCCACTTGATTCCAGGATGTCCGGGAAGCATCACAGAAGAAGAGACCCTGATCGCAAATCTCCTCTCGCCGTGCCCTGTTGCCATGATGCTCATGTCTACAGTATATTATATAGTATATATACTTTATTTATAGTATATATTGCATGTCATATATATTATACATTACACATTTATAGTATATGTCACGTATTATATATACAGTACAGAAGAGGAGGTACCATCCTGATGGAAAGAGATGCAACGCTTCTAAGCTGATAAAGGTGCCTAGCAGTCGCACCTGGCAGCTGACTGAACGAGCGGCTCCTTCTGCATCCCAGAAGACCCTTAATAAGCCCTCGGAGGTTCCTGACCCAGCTGGCACTCAGAATATTTTTGGGGTTTACGGTTTAGGGTTTTATAACTCTTGCTGATACTATGGCTTTTAGTATAATCCATACACCTTTGACAGCTAAGCAGTTCTTGCGGTGTTCGTCTCGCATGGCCTTGGCGTGCTGGTAGCTGCGCGGATTTGCGTCGAGATTCGCCGACCCAGGCCGGGGCAACTCGAGCATCCTCCAGCCCTGGGAATGCGAGTAAGGGTTTAGGGTTTAGGAAACCCTAATAACATTTATGTATCAGATTGATAAAAGTCATGATAATGCAATGACAAGCAAAAGTAAGATTACTAATAACACCGATTACAGTTATATAGCAATAGTTATATAACACAGCTATAATTACAATAACACAATAACAGCAATAGCAATAAACACAGTAACTAGGAGGCCCGAAAGGGTGTAGGGTTGTGCCTATTCGGGTTTTCTAAACCTTATTACCCTAACAGATGCCTTTGATTGCCATACAGGGCGTAAGCCACTCTGGGTCCTGGGAGTCCTGGGAAGATGCAGTGCAGGGAAGGTTGCTTGGTTTATGCGCTGGACCCGACCGCAAACGGCTATTTTGTCGGCAAAATCGTATCAAGAAGTCGATATAGACGTACTTCCTTGAGCATCAGCTAATTTCGGTTGGAGCGGGCAGCGCCAAGTAAGTAGAATGGCACTCTGTGGAATGGCACTCTGTGCGGCAGCAGAGTTGCAGGGCCTCGGCTCTAAGCATTGGTTACGTCCGCTGAAGAAGCAACATGGCTGGGGTCGAATGTTTAAGCAGATGGACAACTCAAAAAGCCTAAGCTAAAAAAATGCGCCTGGTTTCCGCAGAATTCGGTGCGGAGGCCGTGCGATGGCGAGTGGAGCGGCAGGGGGAAACTACTACGAGCGGATCAGCAGGCCCGACTCCAATACTGGTTCTGGGGCCCTAAGTATATCTGCATAAGTCTGCCAACAGTGCTCTCGAAGTATCCGGAACCACTTGCGGAAGAGGAGACTAGTGTTCATTACTCAGTCAGGCCCCTACATTCATCGAGCCGCCCATAGTCAGGCCTCAGACGTTGCAGCCTTCGTCTGCACGACCGTGGGATGGGCTTTGCTAGGCCTCGTCTCCCTTCTTCCGAGATCCCAGGCCCTAGACCAAGACCCTGGGTGCTGCTAAGTGCTAAGCGGTTTAGGGTTTAGGGCATACAGCTGCACGTCCTAAACTCTAAACCCAAGTCAACAGTGGAAACAGATCGGTCCTCGACTGAGCCGCAGAAAATTCGCTGATCTTCCCGAATCCGACACAGCTTAAACCTGACTGACTGCAAGGGTGACTTACTAAAGGCTCACTCATCATGAGGTTCCCCTGAGGCAGATTCCCCTGAGGCAGAAGCCCAGACCTTTGCCAGGCTGTCCGAGCGGTTGTCTGGCTTGCAGCAAGGCCGGGGCTCATCTGGGGGGGGGGCTTTCTGTGGATTCGAGGGCGCTGTCGTGGTGTGAGGAGGGTTTGGGGTTTAGGAGTTTAGGGTTTGGGCTCAGGATGCGGAGAAAACCGCGGGATTAGGGGCTTAGGCTTAGGGCTTACTGTTTCTTAAGGTTTAGCGTTTAGAGGATTTTGACTCGGGGTGTCGTTCTTCCGGGGCCCTGCGTGTGGCACATCAGAATCAGAGCACACGGCTTATTATGGGGGGGCTGAATAAGTAAAGTGCCAGTGCCATTTTGTTCAATACTATCCCCAATTTACAGATTGTCTGATACCCCAAACTTCAGCTCTTTCTATTGAGGCCCCTATACTATCGTGTTGCGAGCCTTGTCCTTTTGGAGGTCGCCAACACGCACTCAGTTTTGCAGTGCCACTCTTGCTAATGGTATAAAAAGCATTTACTTTACTGCTGCGGCTGCTGCGACTACAACAACAGCAACAACTACAGAGACAACAGCGGCAACAGCAACGACAACAACATCAACACAAGCAACAGCAGCAGCAGCCGCGGCGGCAGCAGCAGCGGCGGCAGCAGCAGCAGCAGCGGCAGCAGCAGCAACAGCAACAGCAATGGCAATACTACTGCTCCTGCTACTGCTGCTATGTTCACTAGCTCGGCACAGCCAGAGGGGGCACAGCGGGAGGCCTCGAGCATGAGCGCAACTCGCGCTTCGATCAGCTCAGTCAGCGCATGTCCGGAGCCCTGTTGTGCCGTGAAGCAACGGAACAGGGAAATGTTGCATGAGAAGATTGTATTCGCTGCCACGTATATACATACAAATACATACATACACATAAGTAATTGGATACATAGGGTTATGTATATGTACGGTGCATACGTATTGTTGTTGCATACACATGCATACCTTATCATTGCCATGTGTTTGGCTCGATATACACATATATACATATGTGTGTGTGTGTGTATATATATATATATATATATAAATATCATAGACAGACATGAAAGGCATGAGGAATCATACATGTCTTTGCAGCACTTCGGTCAAGGGTCATTCGGCATAGCGTATGTTGTTCGCATAACTGTTCTTGGGCCATGACCTATTTGCTGTGTGCCAGGATGCCCCCAGCCGCGCAATAGATGCAAAGGTAGGCAAAGCGTGGGAGACTAAACCCGCTCGTTGCAGCTTTTGCTTCGTATGAAGTACGGTATGTGGGGCACCGTCCGGGTCAGTGCTTTAGAAACCTCGCGGTCGAATCGCAAATACACGACTGACGTGTCAAGCTGTGCCAATAGTGTATACTTAAAACTGGCCCCCAAACACCGAAACCCAAACCCAAACTCTAAACCCAACACCCTAAACCCTAAACCTTATACTGTAACCCTAAAGCCTATACTATGACCCCCCAAACCCCTAAACCCAAAACCCTAAACCGATGTACTTCGACTCAAAGGTACGATGTCGACTTGAAGCTCCAGCAAAGCCAGGAGCCTTTCGCCGCCTAGCAATCGTCGCGTAGCCTTTGGGCAGGGAGAGCTCTCGGAAAAACGGCGGCTATGTGAAAGCTTGGTTTTCGAGTCTATTGTTATAGTATACCATCGTATATTATCGTAGGGTTAGAGTATGTGGGTTTATATCATACTATGTTGTGTATCTGTCAGTATCTTATGGCATATGACGGAAGCTCGGGCCCATGAGGGTCCAATCCCGAAGAAAACGCCAAAGCACCAGCACCTCAACTCCCGGAATGGATTATATGGACGATACAGAAACACCAAAAAAGATATTAGAAATTCCGTTTCTTTTATGCAAGGAGTCTCTCCATTCAGACCTAGCGCTCCTCAAGGAGCGCTGCTCGGCCAGCTCGTTTTGATCGGCAGGGTTGGATTGCAGGTTGGATTGGAACCCTAAGCTCTAAACCCTAAACCGTAACCCCCAAAACCTAAACATCCCTAAACCCTAGATCCTAAACCCTAAGCCCTAAACCTTTGCATCAGTTCATGCCAACAGTCTGCCTCTGCACGGAGAGCACGTTCGGGAGTTTCCGATAATTAGGGGTACCTCAGTCCTTATAATACGGATCCTACTATTTAGGGTACTATCTTAGGGTCCCCTATTTTCGGAAACCCCCATTCTGCAATTTACAGGTGAGCCGTGGTGGCCGTCCTGCGACGGCAACTGAACAAAAAGTACCTGCAAGCACCAGCGGAGCCAGCAGCACCAAAAGCACCCGCAACACCAGCAACACCAGCAACACCAGCAGCATCAACACCTGCAGCAGCAGGATGCCACCAGGGTTATATATGATAGAATTTCCACTTCCACTGCTGGTGCTGCTAGCGATACTGTGCTCCTACTTGTGCGACTGCAGTTGCTTTTCGTGCATTGTTGTGCTAGTGTTCAGGCTACCTTGTTTTCTTTTTGCGGACTTGTCAGCGGCGGTTGGCGGAGCCAACGCCCCCCCTTGGGACAAACCTTCGAATAACCCGAAATGAAGACATGCATGCGTCTGAATAATCAGGAATAGTAGCTCCCTGTAGTAAGAATATTTACACACATTGTTATATAGTTGACCTAGATAAGGAAGCCCCTGCCTTACTCTGCCTGTGCGTAAGCTCCATAGGATCAGCTCCTGAAGTTCCAGCGCGACTTTGACGAGGAGCGGTTGGGCCGCGAGGCGCACTGTTTGAACCTTCTTGTGTCGTAGCCGGTGGATGTGGCTTCAAGTTTCCAAAGTTTCAACTTCCCACCCTAAACCCTAAACCCTGAACTCTAAACCCTAAACCCTATAAACCCTAAACCCTAAACCCGAAACTCTAAACCCTGATCGGAATCCGATATCCAGGAAGGCCTAGGAGGCTTCGCCACGAAGTTGAGGTTCCTGTTTCGGCTCTCTTCTTCGGGCTTGCTTCGGGGTCCTCATGCTTTAGCAAGAGCGCTTACTGCAATTGTAGTCTAATGGGCCCCAAAATGCTATTCTATAGCAACGGTGGAACTGCTCCATCCAGGATCTTCTATCGCATGGCAGCGGATTTTTTTTACTACTTCGGCGGTCGAAATGTTTATTTTGCCCGTGCTTTCAAACTTCGACCCCGAAGCATCCCTATACGAGTTTAAGGTCCCAAGCGCTATAAACCCTGTCAAAACTGAAAGCCGTAAAGAACCCTAGATACCCTACCTGCGCAAAACATCCCATAGTCCTATAGGCCCTTACAAACCCTGTCAAGCCTAGAAACCCTTTGTTCAAAGCCTACAAAACCGACACCCTATAGAGTCTAGTATAAACCTTACATACGCCCTAACGTCCCAAGCTTTTTTCCACTTGAGGCCATGACGGAGTCACGCTCCAAAGAGCTTGGCGCCGCGCACCCGAAAGGAGCTGATGGGGTCCCTCCCAGAGACCTTAGAATTACAAAAGGATCCCCTAATATGATTTAAGGTACATGTATATTAATAGGATCCCTTAGTATGATTTACGGTATATGCATATTAATAGGATCCCCTAGTATAATTTAAGGTATATTCCGTAATTCAGGGGTTTTGGGCGGCAGTGCAGGAGTTTTCTTCTCAGCAGAACGAGCCTAGTGTGGTCCCATGTATATATCATAAGTTGTATACTTGTGTAGATTACATGTTACGTTAAGTCGAATGCATATGTGTCCCTGAGACCCAAGACCAACAACCTTGAAGAGGGCACAGAGTAAAGATTTGCTCTCCCGGTATCTAAGACTCGTCGCAGTGCCCGCCCCCGCCCCCCCCCGCCATCGAGAAGTTAGGGCAGTGACGGGGGTTATGGAAACCCTAAGGCTGCGGACATGCGGCTGCAGCAAGCACTGGAGGCAGAGCAGCAGGCGGGATGCAGAGAGGTGAACTCGAAACCCTAAACCCTGAACCCTAACAACCCTACACCCCCAAATCCTAGAATACCCTGAGCCCTACTCGCCCAAAACTCTACAAACCCTAATCCGAAACTGCCAAGAGGAGTCCAAGTGCTGCTTGCAGGCCCGGCGGGATGCGGAGGCAAAGGTCTTGAGAACCTTCGATGAGCGGACGGCGCTGCTTCGAGAGGCGCTCTCTCCACTCGCTTGGTCATCGGGGGCCCCAAAAAAAGAGTACTATTTTGGGTTCCTTATGATAGTTATAGTGTAATATGCCGCGACACCCCACTCTAATGATTAAGGCACCTATATTACCTTTCAACTTTGATTTTTGCTTCTTTGCACGGCACTTGCATGTGCTGATGTCGTAGCTGAGAACAACCGGAGCCTGACTTGCATAGGAGCCTGTTTTTGCGGTGTGGTAAGCGTCACAGGAAATCGCTCGTGAAGGACGCTCCCGGGCCAGAGGGCTCAGAACTGTCCAAGGGACGGCCGATTCGGCTTCGGGTTTCCGGCTTTGCGAGTAGATGGGTTTGCAGGCTCCTAGAGAGTCGTTTTCTTGAGGTCAGGTCGGGAGGGGCTTTGTGGCTGAGCTCGATTCGAAGCTTCGGTTTGGCCCAGCTCGATTTGCTTCCTCGAACGCTACTTACGTCTTGCGTCTTAATCTCCGTGACGCAGAGCAGGCGTACTCCTAAAGCCAGAGGCAACCGAAAAGCCAAGAACTTCTCGACCCTTAATTCCTGAACCCTAGACCCGGAGCCCTAAACCCTGAACCTTAGACTCTAAACCCTGAGCCTTAAACCCTAATTAAACCCTGAACTCAAAACCCTAAACCCCAAACCCTGAAGCCTTAAGCCCTGAACCCTAAGCCTAAACTTAAACCCTAAACCTGGACCCTCGTAAGCCTCAACTGCAGAGTCTGAGGCCGAAGCCGAAGCTGCCCTACGCCGGTACGTCCGAAGCCCTGCTAAAGAAAGGGCGGTATACGGTACATTCCTTATGGACGAAATGAAGCACGAAATGATCCGGGTTCTACAGGCTTTGCGGGGTTTGGGGTGTAGGATTTAAAAACGAGATGAAGCCTAAAAGGGTTTAAGGCTCACATACCGTGTAGGGGCGGGGTTTGGGGTGTAGGATTTAAAAACGAGATGAAGCCTAAAAGGGTTTAAGGCTCACATACCGTGTAGGGATGCCTAAACCCTAAACCCTAGATTCGATCATAGTATAAGGTTACAGGGCCCCTACTTCCAAGGGTCCTTTCCTAGATCCTCTCCCCTCCCCTGAAATTTGAGGCAGCTTCATACGGTTCCCTTAAAGGGATCTGTATGGGATCTGCTTTTTGGGGGTTTAGAGTTGGGTTTAGGGCTTAGGCTTGCCCAGACCCGCCGACTACCGCTCTATTAACGGGCCCTTGGGGGGCCCCGGTTCGGGTAGGAAACAATGCTACGCCTGCTGCCAACTCCAAGGATGTCTAGGAAACAGGTTCAAGACGAGATTGTTCAGGAGCCCTTGCAAAGTCTGTTTGCCAAGCGTCCAAAGCTCAATCAATGTAGCAACTGATGTGAGGCTGCTACCGGGCATCGTCAGTCCATATGGTTCACACAAGATCCCTCGAGACATCTCCTCGTAGCCTCATGCGGGTACGTACATGTGTCTGCATTTCAGTTCCGGCAGCCTGATGAAGCTTGCAGTCCTACAAACCCTTGGTCCCTAATCCAGGAGCTTGCTGCTATTCTTTAGGGTTAGTTATAGCTATAACCCCCAAACCCTCTTCTAGCTGTTAAGGCTATTGAAGCTCCTATTTCAGACAAGGTCGACGTGGACATACCCAAGTTGTACGAAAGCCTGCGAGAGGCCCGGCGCCTGGTATCGCCGGGTGGTTGGCTGCCTTTCCGGGGTCAAGGGATTAGATAGTGTATCAGTCAGACCATCCATTCAGAAAGCAGCATTGTTTGTTCTCTGGATGTTCAAGCACAAGCTAGGGTCTTGATTGCTTCTAGTCATGATACAGGCAGGATTCGAGATCCATGTGCTGTCGTGTTTCCGTGGTGTAACTCTTCCTTGCTAAGTCTGGGATGACATCTTTAGTCATGCCCTTCCTTCCCGAAGCGGCGACCTCTCCAGCAAAAGTCCCTACAATCAGCGCAGCTCTGTGGAACCCTCGAAACACCACTGCGAACCCGTCGGAGGAAGCCCAGTCCCGCGAGACCATGGAAGACCGCATCGTCAGGCACGAAAGTCAAGCGATTCAGCAATTAAGTCGTTTAGTGTTTCAGGTCATCGGCCCTTGGGGGTGATTTCGAAGGGCACTCTAGCGTGCAGCTCTTCTGTTTTCGAGAGACCAGACCTTGCAGTGAGCGCTGCCGGTCCCACTTGTAAGCTTCGAGTCCTCGGTGCTCAGCCTGAGATGGGGGTTTCCGAAAATAGGGGACCCTAAGATAGTACCCCAAATAGTAGGATCCTTATTACAAGGACCCCTAAATAAGGTACCCCTCATTTTCGGAAACTCCCAGATGTGAAGGCGAGCATCCGACGAGATCGCGAGACTGCAAGAGGCGCTGGAAAGACCAGGGCCAGGGGCTTCGAGAGGAAGGGGATTACTTGGAGGTTCATGGCTGGTTATAAGTAGGGTGTCTTATTCCCCTGATACAAGTATGGTTTATAACTATAGTTATCCCGCTTATAACCCCGATTATAATAACCCATGAACCTCCAAGGAGGGCACTTTCTTTCGAGAGCCTCAGACGTCGCCTCGGGCTTCCTTCGCTCAGAGCCAGACGACGCTCTGAGAACCCTCCGCATGTCACAACTCCAAACTACTCCTCACTTCCCTCAGCGTGCTGAAGCGGCCCCCGAAAGGCCATCCTCACAGAGAAGAAGGCCCGGGAAGATACAGAAGAGGCGCTTCTGAGGATGATGGAGGACTGGTGCCACCTCTCTTGCTTGCTGCAGCAGCACATACGGACTTTTAGGGACCATGGTGTCAGTGGTTCGTTTAGCTTTTATGTCGGGGAGATAAGGGTCGAACAAAAACCGCTGTTTGCAGATCCGGTTGCTGGATGAAGGGCTTGGGGATCGCGTTGGCAAGCAGCCTGCAGGACACAGTTGCCAAGATGAGGGCCGAGATTGCCCAGGCGAGCATCGGTGCTTTGCCTTCAAATCGGCGGGACACCTACTGTAGGCGCCTCGATAATTACCAATACCGTTTTGGGGGGCTTCCTGATTATAGTTATAGCATAATGGGCCCCCAAACCCTGTTTTTGAATCAATAAGGTCCCTATAGTACTGGTAGCAAGTCCACCGCCACCTGCAAGTAGCAAGTCTATCGAAATTTGTCGAGATAGAAGTTTGTGAATGTATGCTGGCCTTCAGAAACTACTTGACAGTTCAGAAACATCAAACGACCCATGATCATCATGTTCATATCGATTGCGCCCATGCCTTCATGTGCAGATGTAGCGCCCCATGCAAGTAGGGGCTTGTTGCAAGGGTGCTTGAAAGGGTGGAGTTGGCACAGCCCGAAGGAGACTCCGCGAAGTATTCGGGAGGCCTTTTCAATGTCGACCTCACAGATCGTCGGATCCTCATCGCCAGTTGGCCCCAATGGAAACTCTCAGTTTTGAAGACCGCCCGAAATCAAACTTCAATGAAGTCCCCAGAGAGCCCAATACCCCTTATTAATGAATCTAGCTTAAACAATAAGGGGATTCATATTATGATTTAAGCTACATTCCTCAATTAAGGGGTATTGGGCTCTCTGTGTCCCCTCCATTCCAAGCTCCCGCTCCTGAACAAGTCCGGCTGCAACGGCCCTTCACCTGATGTTGGTTCCCATGGGTGGAACTTGGGGTCTTAGAGCTCGGCAATCTTGAAGCATAGCCAAGACTCACTGGGTCAGCCGCATCTGGCTCTGGCCCCTGCATGGCTGAAGAGCAGTTCTTATCAACTTTTGCAGAGATGTCCCCGGGCCCGAAGGGTCCTCCACTCCTTTGCTGCAGACGACTTGCAATATAGAGGCCTTTAAGAACTTCTAATACACTTGTTTGGGGGTTCCTTAACGATATTATAGTATAATTGCTAATGCTATCTTGGGTGTTCCTTACTATAGTTACAGTATAATGGGCCCCAAAACCGTATTCTAATTATTAAGGCCTCTATATTATGGCCACGGCGTCTCGTTTTTCTGCGGTCGACTCAGCGACTTGGACCCGCAGGCTGGAGCCGTCCACGGTCCCATGAAGCCTGCGTTGTACCACGCACACCTTAGGGTTTAGGGTTTAGGGGTTTAGGGGTTTAGGGTTTAGGGTATACTTCAATGCTTGAGACGCCCAGGTTTGATGGTCTTACTTCCACAGCATGTTCTTCTGTTGAAGAAGATGCTGTGGAAGGAAGACCGAGAACAATGGATTGCGGCAAAGGTGGAAGGGCATGACCGACAGTTTACACTTTCGCGGTTCTCGCAAGCCGTGAGCGAGCAAGGATTGATCGCCGATTGATCATTCGAGATCAGCCATCATGCAGGAACGCATGAATCCACGACGAAACCTCTCTCACACAAATGTAAAGCCGAGGTTAAGTTACTAGCATGAAAAGTTACCGATCCTATTCTTCAGGGTTCCTGAAGTCATGCAGTTTAATTAGTTTTTAGGGGTCCCTAAATCTAACAAACCCTAAAGCCCTTGCGGACCCGGTAAAGCAACCTTACTCTCAATCTCTAAGGCCCCTATCTTGGGCCATTCCTCCCGGCCAGGAACGGGCTGACAGGGAGACCACCGAGGAAACTCTCTTGAAGTTGCTGGAGGCGCCTACACTGGTTTAGGGATTGGGGTTTTCCACTCTAAAAGTTGAGGGTTTAGGGAAGCCCTAGACCGTATATATGGACACCCCAAACTCTGAAGAGCATGAACCCAGGAACTTCGGCCTAGGTGGCGTCAAGCTACTTTGGGGGGGTGGGATACCTGCTTTCAGCATTAAGGTCTATATATTCCCCAAATATTTTGTGGATGGCTTGATGGCTCTCAGCGAGTCTTAGTGGTTAGTGCTGTTCTGTTGCAAAAGAGAGAGTTGTTGAGCAGATTCCATCGCTCAGGATCTATTGCGCGGTCGGCACAATCACTTGCGGCTAATAGGATTCCTCCGTGTTCCTTACTACAGCCATTGTCTTACTGTATAAGATGCCACCCCCCTCCAAAAAGAAATGAAGCCCCTATTCAGGCTGCTTCTAGCCTCGGGGCTCTGTGTGACTCAGGGTTTGGATTGTTCACCGCTTCAGTTTGCGGCTTCGGCATCAACATTTCAGGATCCTGTAGATACCTTGGAGCAACCGTGGGTTTGGGGCTTAGGGTTTGGGCCTTAAACCCTAAACCCTAAACCCTACTTTGGGGTGTAGGGTCCCTGGGCTCATGACAGTGTTCTCAGGAGACTTGCAACAAGCTGAATGCGGCCTCCCAGGTGTTGTGACACACTCTGTCGGGGGTTTCAGGTTTAGGGTAGGGTTCAGGGTTTAGGGTCTCGTTATAGTTATAGTGGTGGTTGCAGTTGGGCTTTTCGGTCGCACTTTTCGGACTTTTGACTTGAAAGTTCATCGTTGAGGTTTTCGGGTTTGGGGTGCAGGATATGCCTGTGCAGGATGCAAATGCTCATAGAGTCCCATGAAGGATCCCCGGCGAAAAAAGTTCAGTCCCGTTGGCCCACGGTGTCATGAAGCTGTCTTGCAAAAAAACGTATATAGAAGCCAGAATAATTACCTATACATGGTTCTGCTACGCCACAATAAACTCCAAAACTCGGTTCAAGTTCTTGAGGCCCCTAGATTGAGCCCGAAACTGCGTTGTCTCTTTTGGGATCCTTGCCGGGACTCCATTCTTGACTGGGCCGTGGTCCTCAAGCAAGACTCCATGTAAGGTCTCAGCAGATTGCTGCGAGAAAGGTTGGGAGTGTGTTAATACAGGCGTTGTCGGAGTTGTGCTGGGACTTCCCAAATCATTGTAGGGTTACACTACAAGGGTGCTACGGTGTTAATGCCATCTTACCATGGGAATTTTTGTCCAAAAATTATAGGATTGTTACAGAAACTTAACTTGGGGATTTAGAATTGTTCGTCTTACCGGATTTGAGTTTCGAGATAGGCGGCATCTGCGGAGTCCTCCGGGTCGGAAAGGCAGACTTCGACGGGGCGAGTGTCGGCAAGCCAAAATGTGCGCTTTCTTTTCACGTTTGGATGTTTCTCCTTTTCAAGTTTGGATTTTTCTGTCTTTCAAGTTCGGATTTTTCAGGTTTAGGGTTGGGGCTTAGGGTTTAGGGTTAAGGTTTGGCCGAAGATTTAGGGCTCAGGGTCGTTGGTGCAAACTCTTAGCAGAAGCTCGTCTCAAGTTGCTCCAGTAGCAAGAATCCCCCTTAAGCCCTTACAAACCTGATTGACGCTACTTGGAGGATCATGGGACTTAGTACTTAGGGTTATAGAGAATCATACTTATAACTCCAATTAGGGTACTTATAACCTTACTTACTAAGTCCCATGATCCTCCAAGTCAGCCCTTATAAACCTGACTGACACTAGGATCGCCATCCTGGGGAGGTTCGTGCGAAGACTCCGTAGGACAGCCACATGCATGGATGGAGGTTGCTGTCGGTTCTGTCCTTGGCTTGGTCTGTGCTTGTCAACCCTGATGTCGAGGGCTGCAGCAAGGGTCAGTTTTATTCGAGTTTAACACGGCGCACGAAGCGGGCATCGTGCCTCCTGCCTGCTCAGATTCTGCTTTCGGTCACGGAACTCTAAAAAGGACCCGCTTCAGATCAAGTCACTTATTCCCTGGCCCAGCTATTGTCTAAAGACATGTGCCTGCATCCTTGAGCAAGCCAGCAGCCCCTGAAACCTAAATCTTTCACCAAGCCACATGGCCCTGAAAAGCCGCAAGCAGAGAAGAAAGGGGTTCTCCAACATATGAGCTTCGGAATAACTAGTCGAGTCACCACATTGCATATATACACGAAAGCCCCGTTCTTGATATTCGGGCCCCTAGACCTCAAAACTACATACAACCCTTGTAGAACCCTTATAGCACAAAAGGAACGTTCAAGGAGCCCCATTGAAACTTGTAAAGGTCCGTAAAACCCTAAACCCTAGCCCTAGCCCTTATGATACGCCCTCAAAGGTAGCCTTAAAGGAACTCCAACCCCAGAGCCCCAAGGCTTAAAGGAACCCTTAAGCGGGACATACTTCGCGACGTCATGGCCGACTCAAAACGACCGACTTTGGACTACGGTCAGCGTCTCAAACATGGGGCGATGCATTGTTCCGACTGTTACGATGGTTGCTTCAACGGGTACTTTAAGGGTTGCTGTATGTCAGCGGTTAGCACTTTCGTGTTTTGGGTTCTGAGGTTTGGGAGGCATGGATTTTCTGAGGGTTCAGGGCGCAGGAGCATCCTGAGGAGCACGGGAGTTAGGCTTTGAAGTGCCAGAGGCATGCAACACCCACGCTCAGAGGCCCTTCACAAGATGTATTCCAGTGAGATCCGCCCAGACCAGCAAAGCCTCGTGGGTGCGAGGCCTTTGAATCCTAAACTCCGAAACCGCGAAACTAAACCCCGAAACCCCGAAGCGCTAAACCCCCGCAAGCACAGCCCTGAACCCCGAGACCCCAAAACCCGAAGCTCTTCAACTTCAAGCCTAAAACCTTAACTACACCCCAAAAACTCAAAACCACAAACCCCAAAAACCCGAAATCCTAAAAACTTTAAATCCCAAAATCCTAAACCCTAAACCCGAAATCCCAAAACCCCAAAACCCCAAGCCCCGCAACCCCTAAACAACCCGCGAACCCGGAAGGTTTCCCCTTCGCTGTTCCAACAGAGCCAACAAGGTCGGGGGGTCCTCAACTTTGGCGACGAAGGTCTCTACTTGGCCCCCTGCCTGCACTATGGCTATACCGTTGCTAATACGAGCGCTTCCGAAAATTAGGGGTACCTTGTTTTGGGGTCCTGATAATAAGGATCCTACTATCTAGGGTAATATGTCAGGGTCCCCCATTTTCGGAAACTCCCATATTAAGCTAGTAATACCTGTAGCAGCATTAGTTACTATTCGCATCAGTTCTAGAATCATCATGATTATGTAGCGTTTGTACTTCTAGTACCATTGTTGTTCTTATCATATTACGATTTAGGGTTTAGGGCTTAGGGATCGTAAGGCATCTCGAGATGCAGACAGAGAGAGCTGGGGAGCTCTGGGTCGAATGCGTTAGGCAAGCATAGGGCCGAGTGGATCAAGCGGCAGAGGATAGTACGGTTGATGATGTAAATCCTGGGGTTCCTTTAAAGGGATCTATATGGGATACCTTTAAGGGCCCCTTTAAGGGATCCATAGGGGGCTTAGGGTTTAGGGTTGATGATATAAGTCCTGGATTACCCATAATAAGGAACATACCAGGTAATGCAGGGTTTATATCATCAACAGTAGTATCCCGTTGTATACACAAACGGGGAAAGGGAGGAGCAGAAAGGAACGAGCGAGAGGCGCCCTCATACTTGAAATTGTTCTGCGACTCCCATTTCGATACAGCGAGGCTGTGCTGAGCGACTACGCCTCACAGCTGCTCGTAACCGTGGCCTGGCCATAGACGCACGGGCTTTGCACGGTCTGGTGCCTTCTGAGGTTCGCCATCAAGACTACATTGAATCGGTCGGATTTGGGCTTCCACTGGCCGCGACAGGGTACTTGGGTTCACACGAAACTGAAGTTTTCTCGGCGAGCTTGTGCTCAGTCACGACTGTCCAACCCTCAACCCCGTTGTAAGCCGATGATGTGTGGTCGGCTGCTGATCTAGTGTCGGTCCTTAGGACCGTGGGGGACTCGACCTCAACTCCAAGATTATATTATAGTATATTCTCGAATATTACATTATGCCCCGTATACTATAGCATATTATGGTTGTAGTATATGATAGTATATTATAGCATGTTATAGTATATCATAGTATATTATAGTATATTACATTATCATCCGTTCAGGTAAAGCAAGTTGAGTCCTTCTCCGCAAGCGGGGAGCGATCAGCGCAGGGACCTTGGACAGCTGCATCAATGCTCGAGGCGCTAGTTTAATACAGGGGCCTTATTGATTAGAATAGGGTTTTGGGGGCCCATGATGCTTTATTTATAACATGGAGCCCCCAAAATAGTATTGGTAATTATGTAGGCGCCCATATTCACAGGGACAAGCATTTTCGGAGCGGTTTCTGGCACGTCTAATGAGCAATGTCTCGTGGGCAGATGTGCCTTGTAGTAAGGTTCATGGGGCTTAGCAAGTAAGGTTATAAGTGCTTATTTCTAACTGGGATTATAACCACAACTACTACCAGTTGGGAAAGTCCTTGCGTTTCGTTCGTGGCAGCGCCAAGCCTTCGGGGGAAGCTTTGTTGCGGGGTCGTTGCGTTTCGGTGTGCACATGGGGGAAAGGCTTTGAAGATGATGATCTGCGGTGTTGGTTTGTTGCAGGGTCCATGAGCGGCTGCTTGCAAAATCGAGTGTCGGCATGGAGAATGGCTGCTTTTGATGTGCTGTTTGCTGTAATGCCCCCGATGTGTTTCTCGAGCGGCTGCTTGCAAAATCGAGCGTCTACATGGGGAAAGGTGCTTTTGACGTGCTGTTTGTTGTGATGCCGCTGATGTGTTTCTTGAGCGGCTGCTTGTAAAATCGAGCGTCTACATGGGGAATGAGTGCTTTTGATGTGCTGTTTGCTGTGATGCCGCTGATGTGCTTCTTGAGCGGCTGGCTTCAAATCACACCGGAGGGTATCGTTCACCCCCATGTATTGATGTACGACCGGGCATCGTTCAACCCATGCAAAAAAATGTGAAAACCCGGCCTGGAGTGACAGCGCAGGCGTTGCAACTGCAGGCAGGCAAAGCGGAGCCGTTTTAGGTTTGCGGCGCAGGGCTTCTTCTTTACGTGCAGTTGCAGAAGGCTGCAAAACCGAACCGCAGCACGCAGGTCTAAGCGCATGCATCTCAGGGTTCGTTCTTCACCTGTCCCCGGAGGTGTGCAGTTGCAGAAGGCTGCAAAAACGAACCGCAGCACGCAGGTCCAAGCGCATGCATCTCAGGGTCCGTTCTTCACCTGTCCCCGGAGGTGTGCACTTGCAGAAGGCTGCAAAAACGATCCGCAACACGCAGGTATAACTGCATGCATGTCGGGGTCCGTTCTTCACCTGTCCCCGGAGGTGTGCAGTTGCAGAAGGCTGCAAAAACGAACCGCAACACGCAGGTATAAGTGCATGCATGTCGGGGTCCGTTCTTCACCTGTCCCCGGAGGTCTGCAGTTGCAGAAGGCTGCAAAAACGAACCGCAGCACGCAGGTATAAGTGCATGCATGTCGGGGTCCGTTCTTCACCTGTCCCGGAGGTGTGCAGTTGCAGAAGGCTACAAAAAACGAACCGCAGCACGCAGGTTTAAGCGCATGCAT